GAAGTCAAGAACAAGACAAATTCGATTTTCTACCATACCATGTTGTCGGATTATTAACTAGCATGCTCCTATATAAATTGTCATCAATAATTTCTTCGCAATACTAAAATACTTTCTTACTATGAGACAACACAAACTCATGCAAACAAATCTTACCATCTCATGAAAGTATGATTGCTTCTTATAAATTCGTCCGTTAGCTCACCAATGACTTGATGTGGGATGCATAAATTTTTTTTTATTTCTTTTTTATTTTCACTGAGATAAATTTAAATTGAAAAAAGAAATATATATCCAATGATAGTCCTGTAGTTTGCAAATATTAATGATTTCTCTTCTAATTGAATGGTGAGTGAAATTTTTTAATGGAAGTTATTGGAGATCTCATTTTTTGGTTTATAAATATACAACTATTGAGGTAAATGTAGTGTCAAATTGAAATTACACACAACGATGGTAATTTAAATGAGTTAAAAATGCGCATAACAATGGTGACAAGTATTGTACTTAAAATTTCAGATAGCATTTGGCTTCCATCTGATCATAGATGAACTGTAGATTGTACCATTTTCTACCAAAAAAAAAACTTACAATTTCATATAGCAGTTGGCTTCCATCTGATCATAGATGAACTGTATTTCGTATCATTTTCTACCGAAAAAATCCACGGATTCGAATATGTATCATTTTGTTCGGACTTGAAATTTTCTTTTCGTTTGCGATAACTTTCAATTTATTCATCTGTCAGTTTTGTCTCACCAACATTGTTAGCATGACTCATATTCGCTCGGTCCATCACCAAATCCATTAATCAGCAACCTTTAAACGACAAGTAGCCACTACACCCAACTAGAACACAATAGAGCGAGTCAACTATAGTGTGAGGGTAAATCCTACTACTAGGAGTCAACAATCAACACACCCACGTATGCGTTTGATAAGGGCATGTTTGTTTATGAAATATTTCATTCAAAATGAGTTATTTTAGTTAACTAGAGTTAATTTTGGAAAAGGTAGTATGGTTAATTGTTAGTGGGATTTTAAGAATGTATTAAAATAATATTTAAAATAAAATGATTAAAATTGATTTGATGTAAAAGTCAGAGATAAATAATTGGAAATGATTAGAAATGATAGGTAGTTATGTGAGTGGATGAATAGTGAATTAAAATTGATGTGATGTGTAAGAATGATTGGTTTGTATTATTTAATCATATAAATAATATTAAAGATAATGGGATTGAGTTAAAGTTGAGTTAGATTTTAAGTATGAATTGGATTGAAAATGAAATAATTTATAAATAAGCATGCCCTAAATAAATATTGCATTGAAGCAACTTAAGAGTTTAATACATCCCTAAAGAAAGAGGAGAATATAATAGGAAGAGAATACTTTCAAAAGCAAGAAGAGAGAGACACTATCGGTCAATTCGAAATTTTATGGGCGACTTGATTCTTCATTCGGAGAATGTGACCGCACGTACTGCAATCCAGGGTAGACAGGAGCTCCCTTATATCATAAAATACCTCAAGAAGAGGGTCGCATGTTCCATATGAATGAGCCCTCCAACGACCTAAGGAATCCGTCAAAATCGCCTGAAGTTTGAAGTCGGAACTCGGGCACAGTGTAAACCATATCGAATAGCCAAAGCTTCTGCTAGTAGAGGAAAAAAGGAGCCCTTGATACACGTAGTAAAAGCAGCCTGACAAATGCCATCCGAATCCTGAATCTATCCCCCAAGTCCAATATATGTATCCCGGACTGCTGCATCACACAAAAGAGTCCACCCGTTCTTGCACGTTCCCCTTCTTTGCCAACAATAAAGTAAATTGCAGCATGGTTTCAGACCATTGTCAAGCAAGCCTGATTGAGTGTAGTCAAACTCTTTCAACCAACATATCCCAAATTCCCAAAATTGTTCCGGATTCTTTTCTTGTAATTTCTGACGAAGGTGGTTGCGTTCATGCCAAACAAGCCACATTCCAACTGCCAATTTCCTGAAGTCCATATCTTGGCCTTCGGATAGAATATCTAAGAATAAAGAAATGAAATCCCTTCTTTGGAAACTCGAGATAACCCCCCACCATCTCGCATACTTCCACAATTTCTTAACCTAGGAACAATCGAAGAAAAGATGACAATTTGTTTCTCTAAAGCCACAACATCATCACCTATTATCTAGAATAATATATCTTCGAGCCAAATTTTCACAAGAGGGAAAAGCTGAGAGTGATACCTTCCAGAGGAAAATTTTAATTTTTGGAGGAAGCCAAAAGTTCCAAAGTGATTTCTACCAAAGGGCGTTAGCCTGTGCACTCGGACCAAAGCAAGCTGCGTTTAAATTTTTCAGGAGTTGGTAGCCACTGCGTGCTGAATAGATTCCATTGCTCGAAAAATTCCAAATTAATCGATCCGCCCTCGTTTGATCTCCGAGAGGAATAGAAAGAATTTTTCCAACGTCTATGGGAAGCAAACATTTGATTAATGAGGTCATAATTCCACGATCCCATAATGCCAATAAGATCCTGGACGCGGTCAATTCCCAACACCGAACGAGAGAAATGCCGATAATGATAATTGTGAGGAATCCATAGATCGGTATAAATTTTGACTAGAGATCCATTTCCAATCCTCCACCATAAGCCTACTTTAACGACTTCATGCCCCCAAAGAAGACTTTTCTAGAGATAAGAAGAACTCGTTCGAACAGTAGACCCGAGAAAATCACCATCTGGATAGTATTTGGCCTTGAGCACACACACAACTAAAGAATCGGGAAAAATGAGAATTTTCCAAGCCTGTTTGCCCAACAAGCATTGGTTAAAGAACTGCAAATACCTGAAGTCCGTTTCCCCAGTAAACTTGGAATCTGACAGTTTAGACCAAGAGATCCAGGCCATTTTACGTTCACGATCCCGAGATCCCCCACCAAAATTGGCAAATAATCCGTTTAATCTGATCGCAAATTCCTTTGTAACCCGAAACAAGCTCATCATGTGAGGGGGGTTCGCTTGAATGACTGCCTTAATTCAATTTTCACGACCGCCGACAGAGAACAGATTTCGGTTCCAGTCTCGCAATCTTTTCCAAACTTTATCTCGAATAGTCGCAAAGGTGTGTAACTTATCGCGCCCCACCATTGAAGAGAGGCCTAGGTAGGTGTTGTGCGAGGAAGGATTGAGAATGTCGAACAGTGACCACATGTCATTTCGTGATGAAGGGGGAGTATTTGGAGAAAAAGTAGATGTAGTTTTTTCCAAGTTTTTGTCCGAAGGCGAACTCATTGCTTCAGGAGCCTGAGCTTTCGAAAAGATAATCGAATCGTCAGCAAAAAGAAGATGGGATATCCGGGGAGCCGACTGCAACGCATCCCCATTAACTCCCCGTTGTCTCAGCACGCCTAAAGGTTGCTGAAAAACCCTTAGCACACAAGATAAATAGGTAGGGGATAAAGAACATCCCTGTCTTAACCCCCGAGAAAAAATCCCCTTGCCCGTGATGACCCCATTGATCGAGATGAGAAAGAATGCAAACTGAAGAAATACAATTAAAAATGAGGGCCCTGAAACGAGGTGGAAAACCCTTTAGAGAGCATGGCATTGATAAAATTCCATTCGATTCGGTCATATGCTTTACTCATAACGAGTTTGAGCGCGATCCAGTTTGTCTTCTCAGAGTATATTTTAGACATCGAGTGGAGAAGTTCGAATGCTAATATAGCTTTATTTGTAATATGTCGTCCAGGAACAAAAGCGCTTTCATTATCGGTAATTAAAGGTCCTAACACCTTTTTCAGCCTGTTCGCAATAGAGTTTGAAATTATTTTGTACACAACTGAACACAGGCTAATTGGACAGAAGTCTGTGATATACACACTATTCTTCTTTTTTAGGGTCGGTACCTCAATAATTTCATTTATCTCCTTAACCGACTTCTTCACCATTAAGAACCTTGAGACAAGCTTTCAGAATATCATTTCGCATAAGGCCCCAATTGTTTTGGAAAAAAGTTGCGTGGAAACCAGCAATACCCGAAGCTTTATATGGACCAATACTCCTCAAGGCGTTTTCAACCTTCTCCGGTGAAAAAGGTGCATCAAGCATTGAAAAGTCATCTGAAGAAATACAACCCTCTACCGATCGCGTGATAAACTCAATATCTGAAGGAAGTGGTTCACTACTAGAGAAAAGGGTAGTAAAGAAACTTGTCACGTGCTGCTGAATTTCATCCTGGTCGGTGATCAAATGCCCCTACTCGTCCTTGATCTTCTCAATATGATTAGTCTTATATCTTGCTTTAGCTCTTGAATGAAAGAATCTTGTATTGCGGTCTCCATCCTTAAGACAATCAACACGAGCTCATTGTTTCGAGAACTTTCTTCGCGGGTCTTCAATTGGGTAATCTCATGTTCAAGAAGTTTAATTTGATCCATGAGAAATTCAGAATTTGGCGAATCGAAAAGTTTCCGAAGTTGTGACTCTTTCCTCCCTAGCTCGTTTTTTCAGTTACCGAAAGATTCTTGATTCCATTCCATTAGCTTATTTTTGCATACTGTCAATTTTCAACACACAAGATTGAATGGCTCGCTCCCACTTAGTGATTCTGAACTTAATCGATTACAACCTGATTGAACATCATGAAACCCATTTTCCCCTAACCAGAAAGGTTCAAATTTAAAGGTTCGACGACACCTGTGCGATACAAAGTTGCACGGATAGGTAAAGCGTAAGACAATAGGTCGATGGTTCGATGCCTTAAAAGGAAGATGTTCAGTACGAGCTGTTGGGTACAAGTAAACCCATTTAGGATTTCCCAAAAAGCGATCAAGCCGCGCTTGAATGTTGTCCGTCCCTCTCCTCTTATTGTTCCAAGTGAAGAAATTTCCCAGAAATGGAAAATCCAAAAGATTACGATCGAAAAGCGTCTCTTGGAAATCCAATGGTTAAAATTCCGTGGACACTGAAGGGTGATATTCACCCACATATAATAATCGAGATCAGAACATAAATGCCAACAGACTAACACAAACTTATTCCAACACCAGTACAATATGATCATTAAGCAGGGTTATGGATTTGAAATAAAATAACAAATATAGAGTATCAACAAAACAAATAATACAGGCAACAGTCCAACAGTCCAGACAAATCAAATGTGCTACTCGAGAAGTCACACTGCAATAAAGTATCAAACAACTTTTATTAATGAAAAATAAAAATTATCTACATCCCACAAAAATACAATGGTCACCCTCAAATCTTTTGGCCAAGCAAATTTCCATGCACAACAGTAATATCGAACATGAAAAAAATGCTGCTGCCAAACTACCTTGCAAATCAGGGAAAGATACATTATGAACTTTTCTCAATAAGGAGTGAGTAATTTAAATATTATGGAGTGGTAGGGGCTGTTCTAATCTGCTCTGGACTGGCCAGCACGAGAAGAGAGGATGATGCCAACAATGAGACCGTAAAGAGCCAAAGCTTCAGCAAAAATGAGGATAAGAATCATCCCAACAAAGAGCTTTGGTTGTTGTGCATTAGCTCTGCCACATGGGGTAAGAAAGTTAGTAAAACTATATTGAACATAAGAATCTCAAAATTACAAAGTGGTTTGTTTCCTGAACTATAACAAAGATAGCAAGCAAATATTGGTGCAAAACAGCAAGGATGCCATCACTAAGGCTACGAGTGTCACAAGCACAGGAGAAATGAAAAATGATAAACTAATAATTCTCATCCCTTTGAACTTTACAGCAGAAAAAACTAGCCTTATCTAGTTATCTCTATGGCCACGAGTCAACTCTAGAGTTTCACAAAGTTTCTAAAGAAGAGCCTGGATATATCCATGGCCGACTGAGATAACTAAGCCTTAGATTGAAAATACCAAATGAGCAAATGTGGACCACAGAGATACAAACTCATTAGTCATTCATGTCTTAGCTTGTCGCATAAGATGTAACTCAGTTTTTCAGGAATTTAGTAAACAGCTACAAGAGAGATATATATAGCACTATACAAACAAACATGGAGAGAGTAATACTCATCTCGAGGGAGATAAAATAAACTAAGAACCAAATATCAAACCATAGTTCACCCTTCCCAAAAGGGTACAACTTAACAATATTATAACCCAACAGCAACACCCCAATCAAATTCAATAGCTAACAAACCATTCAGAAAATTTATCACAATGCTAAATTTCTCGAGATCTACTTAGGATCCAGGTATCGTTAGAGAAATTACCTCACACCAGCATCTCCAACAATTCCGATGGCCATACCAGCGGCGAGGCCGGCGAGACCACAGGCGAGACCAGAAGAAAGGTGAGCGTACCCATCAAACAAGTAGTACGACTTGGCCTTGGGGTTAATACCAGTGCTGATAATCACGGCAATAATCAAACCATAAATACCCAACACACCAGCCATGACCACTGGGACAATAGACTTCATCACCAGCTCGGGCCTCATCACGCCCATCGACGCCACGCCGACGCCGCTCTTGGCGGTGCCGTACGCCGCCCCCATACCTGAAAAGGGGAAACTGAATGAGTACAAAATTTATACGGCGGCCGGAGCCTTATAGATCTGAAAAAGAAGGGTGGATCGGATCTGGGCAGAGCGTGGTTTACAGGAGAAGACCAAGGCGGCGGCGGCGCCGAGGAAGCCGAAAAACGGCGCCGTTTCATCACCGCTGAAGGTTGACGACATCTTGGTATCGACTTGGATGCCTGCAGAGATTGAATCTGAAGATTTTTCTTTCTTTCTCGCGCGAGCCTCTGCAGATTTAGAGAGAGAGATGAATGAACAATTGATCAATTAATTAAGGCCGGCCTTCGATGATGACGTGGTGGGCTTCTTGCGTGGGAATTAGTTGAAATAACCCTCCTCAAATACTAAATTGGCCAAATGACCTTGACTAAAAAAAAAAAATAAATAAATAAATAAATAAATAATGAAAAATAACATTTAAGGGGATATTATTCTTTTACCCTCACTTCTATCTATCTTCTTCAAATTTTTTTAAAAAAAAAATTGAACAGCCCATTCCCTCTTCTCTTCTCTCTTTGTCTCTGTCGACTCTTTCTGCTCTCCTCCCTCTCTCGCTACCTTCTCTCTCGGCTCAAATCTCACGCTCTCTCGGCTCTCTCAGCCCTTTCTCACAATTGTCTCATGGAACTCTCTATTGTCAATGTTGGTAAAAATTTATTAGGGTTCCTTTTTTTTTCAGTTCTTCTTAATTTTTTTTTTAGTAAGGGTATAATGATGTTGAACCCTTTGTGTTTATAATTATTTTCCAAGCATGCTAGATTTATTAAGTTGAAGAAGAAAAGTGAGTTTATGTGTTATGTGTTAATTGAAGAAGAAAAATGAGTTTATTTGTTATGTATTAATTGAAGAAGAAGAATGATGTTGAAGAAGAATTTTTTGATATTGTGGTTTAAAGAGATGAAAGTGCGGTTAATTTGTTGAAATGCTTGTAGGATTAACAAATGTTACCTCTTTTACCAATAGCAGATTACCTAAATTCGCATTCAAATTCTTCCACACTGTATTTCTGGCAATTGTAGTGTTTGTATGGTTCAGAACTTCAAGCAGGACATACACGTGTATGCGTGTGTTTGACACTATGTGTACTTTATGGGACAGAAGACCATGAATTATTTGACACCACAAATTTAATATATGTCTATCAGGTGGAATTGAGATCCAAATAGGAAGTCCTATTCTACTCTTACTTTGGACGCCTTCTTAAACTAAAGTCACCATGAAGAAGTATTTTCATTGGTAAATGCACATTGATAGCAAAATTAGTAGGAAACAAATTATAGACCCACTGAAATATAAAAGTTCAAGGCATTGCCCAGGGTACCAAAGGAGCCTAACAATTGAACATAGAGGATTGGATTTCTTGGTTATATATTACATTATCTTATTATATTTATTTAAAATAAGTTTATGCAGTTTTGTACTGCAGGTCTAAAATACCCAGTTGGGTTATATTAAAGGATTATGCCACTATTTTAAGTACTTATTGCTTGTTTGATCTATTATGACTTATGTTGTCTTTCTTTTCTGTTTTTAGGAACCAAAAAGGAATATGCGTTTGATATACCTTCTAAATGCAAAGCAAACGTGACGAATCAGTGCAACCTCAAAGTTGTCAGAAAAGTAGTTGACAATGATGCACATAAAGATCGATTTGTAGAGTCATGCTTCCAGCCACTAATAAATATTCTCGAGATCATATTGTCCTCGCAAATAGTCCACCAAGTACTTCGTAAGACATTGAAAGCGTCCGAAAATGAGAAAGATGTCGTGTGGTTCAGATTTGGGGAAAAAGAAGCTAGATTCGGGTTACAAGAGTTTTGTCTTGTAACCGGATTTAAGATTACGGCGGATGATGAAAATGCGTACTAGGTCCTCAAAAATAACAGTTCGCTTTTGCAACTGTTCAAGAAGAAGCAGGGGAAGATCAAACGCAGTGACTTACTCAAGAAATTTCATAAGCTGGATAATAAGAAAGACGCGGAGACGAAGTACAAATTGGGACTCGTGACGATCTTGGAGCATGTTGTTTTGTCTGCAGAGTGCGAGACTCTTGTAGATGAAAGATGGTTTAATTTAGTTGAAGATTTAGAAAAATTCAACAGTTATCCTTGGGGCAACTTATCGTATCAGCAGACTGTAAAGTTGTTCAAGCGGACCTCTTTCGGGAAGGGAAAAAATCCACAGTCCATAAACTATTCTTTGCATGGATTTCCCCTGGCTATTATGGTACATTTCATCTAAATCTATATTTATGTTTTTTATTATTTATTTGTGTTAGTTGTATTTTTAATTATGCTCTCTTATTTGCTAAGCAGATTTGGGCATTTGAGGCGCTACCTGACTTAGGAAGAGAATTTGCCGAAATAAATAATGGTGTCCAATTTTCAAGAATGTACTGTTGGAAAATGGAGAAACAGTTGCGAGGCGAGCTGCTTACTACTTTTTTCAAGAGAGCGGAGGTAATTTTGGTTATAGTTTATTCTTCTTATTTATTGTTATACTTATACTTTTAAAAAAACTAATTATATTACAATCAGATTCAAGTTCGACGAACGTTGGAAATCTCTTCATATGAATTTGAGTCTTCGTATTTCAACGAATTAGGTATAATTGTCGAGGAAGAAGATAGTGTCCGTCAAGATGAGGATGAAGAATGTACTGCGACCAAAGATGAGGGAGAAAGCAGTGCATCTTCTAAAGCTGATGATGATGATGATGATGATGATGATGATGATGATGATGATGATGATGGTGATGGTGATGATGATGATGATGATGATGATGATGATGATGTTGTGGATGATGAGAAAGAAGAAGAAGAAAAAGAAGAAAAAGAAGAAGAAGAAGATAATGCGTCCCAACCTGAAGATGCACCACAACCTCATGTTTTGGATGAAGAAAAGATCGCAAATATAGTTAGGAAAGTGGTGAAGGACGAGGTGAGAAAAGTGGTGAAGGGGGAGATGAACAATTTGTTTGAGAGAATGAAGAATGAGTTTTTTGAAGCAAAAGATAAACTATCTAGCCGTGCTACTTATGATGTGCCAAATGATGATCTGGATGTTGAGGTGGAGAAAAATGTGTGGGATACGGAGACCGTTGAATGTGGTAAAGTTATTTTATTTAAATCAATGCATCATGTTAATGTTATTACTCGATTATTAGTTAAAATAAATAGGACAGATTATTGTAATATTTTTTGTAGTAAAATATATATTTTAAAACAAATGCAACATATTATTGAATTATTTAATTATTTTTCTATTTCGCAGACACGATGAAATCACCATCTCCGATGTCCGAGCAAGAAATGGCTGGACTTCATGGATTTGATACGGGTATGTAAAGTATAATTGTAACTACTACGTAATTTGATGGTGCATTCTTGTAAATAAATGAGTATTGATTGTTTTTTTGCTTATTGTAGGTTTTGTGACCGACCCGTCATCAACCATTGTTGTGTACCAAGAGACAACCGCAGACACCAATCGAGATAGAGGAAACCGTTGAAGATCTTGAGTCTCCTAAAGGGAGAGGGCACCGGAAGAAAAGAAAGGCCTCCGTTCTATGTACTCCGTGGAGGAATATTGAAAAAAGAAAAAAAAATTCAACTGTGACAGAGTACGACCCTTATAGGCCAATGGATCCAGCTAAACTTGAAGATCTCCAAACGTGGTTGTCGAGCTACTTATCGTAATATATAAGGTTGTATGTCTTTGTTTAATGTATTAATTTTTTATGTAGTGCTGAAGTTGAGTTGTCCTCTGGTGGTGGTCTAGCACATAAAGTTTTTTTTAATCAACTTGTGAACAATGGATGGCTTACTAGTGAGGTAAACTATTTACAAAAAAAATTTCAATATTTTTACCTTTGAAAAATATGATATTCACTAATCTAATAAACATTATATTTTTAGCATGTAGATGAAGCGCTTTTTCACATTCGAGAGCGTGGTAAACAGTTCCCTCTCTTGTTTAGACAAGATTGTGCTGTCTTGGACACATTTTTTGTCTCGTACGTGAGAAACTTCTTCAAAGACATGTCGAAGACTAAAAAATTTTCGAAGGCCTTGTGTAGTTACGCCGCAGGGGAGATACCCAATAATGAAAAGCCGTGGGCTGGTTGTACGAAATTGTATGTTCCTTTCTGCAAAGAGGGCGGTCGCCACTGGATCTTACTGGAGATTGATCTATCCCAGAGATGCATTTACGTCTACGATAGCGAAACAAGTGTCATGTAGAGGGCAGAACTGAAGAGGCAACTTGAGCCCATTCGAGTTGTCGTACCGATGCTACTGGCGCAGCTGAATGCCAATTACAGTGGTGAAAAGTTTGAGTACAAACGGTTGACATCTCCTAGCCAAAGCAATGGGTACGTATAATATATATTTTGATCATATTAGGTTTTTAAGTGTATTATGAAACTTGGTAAAGTAATAGAATTTGTACATATATGTTGCAGGTTTGATTGTGGGATGTTTACTATCAAGTTTATAGAATTTTTGGATGCTGGAGAATGTTGAAGGCGTCGATCAATCTCGAATTAGTGATTGGCGTGTTAAACTAGCGTCTGAAATATTTGGTGCTCATTTTGATCCATAGTTTGTTTTAAACAGTCAATATGTAATGGGTTGTAGGGATCTTTTGGATAATACATTTTTGTATTATTTTTCATGTGTCTTTCAATACAATGATGAGGGTGGTCAATTTTTGAAGTTGTATTTTTTACGTACTTCCCAATGCAGTGGTTATAATAGTATTTTATCAAAATGATTAAAAAATATTACTGTAACGATAAGCTTTAATGTAATAAATAACGAGGGGTTCGATGCCGAGCTCCCAAAAATAAATCTAGGAAACGACTACAAGTCGTTTCAAATATAACAAATGTACAAAATAACAAATGTACATTCGTTAGTTTGGAAAAAAAAAAATAAAACTTGAGTGTCGCGGGCGCTACGTCCGTCGCGGTCGCGACATGGAGGCAAACTTCTCTGTCCGACAAAAACAGGGCCAGTGTCGCGGCCGTGAGAAGCGTCGCGACCGCGACATATATTGTTTTCAATATAACGATTGTACATTAGTTATATTGTACAAAATAACTAATGTACATTCGTTAGTTGGTAAAAAAAAAAATATAACTTGAGTGTCGCGGGCGCGACGTCCGTAGTGGTCGCGACATGAAAGCCAACTTCTCTGTCCGACAAAAATAGGGCCAGTGTCGCGGCCGTGGGACGAGTCGCGACTGCGACATATATTGTTTTCAATATAACGATTGTACATTAGTTATATTGTACAAAATAACTAATGTACATTCGTTACTTTAAGAAAAAAATAAAACTTGATATCTCGCGGGAGTGACGTTCCTCGCGGCCGCGATGACGAGGCAACATTCTCTATCCAACCGAAACAAGTGTCAGTGTCGCGCCCGCGCCACGCGTCGCACTCGCGAGGACCTGGAAAGAGGTCTGTAAGCGTCTGTGTCGCGTCCGTGACGACCTAGCAACAGGTCTGTAAGCGTTTGTGTCGCGCCCGCGACACGTGTTGAGCCCGCGATGACCTGGCACCAATTCTGTTTGTTATTTTCGACCTTGCTCGTGATGGTTATTTTGACCTCGTTCGATTATAAAGAAATCATTCTCGTTATATTGCATTTTTTGAAATAACAATACGTGTTTCTTTTCTAAAATGGATAAGTAATGAAGAATCGTTAAATAAGTATTTTAACAATAGTCGTGTCGTTTTTTGTCGTATTTAATCAAAAAATAACCCTAACGAATTCAATCTCGTTGCATATTACATTATATAAAACTAGAAATCAAATCCACATTGCAATAGAAGAAATAACGCTGAAAATCAAATGTTGATTCCAAAACACAAACGAAATCACAAATCAAAACCAAATGTCGATTTTAAAACACAAACCAAAATACAAACCATAAGTCAAACCAAATCCAAAAGATAAAACTGATAACTATGAAGTCTGGAATAAAAGTCTTTGCCTAAAAACAACGCACTGTCACGGTGCATCATGTGCATCCGATGCTGGAGGTGGAGGTGGAGGTGGAGGGTAGGGTAGGCTGCTGCCTGAACTCAAGCGAACATCCCATTGCTGGAACTGGTCGCCCCATTGTTTCCACTGATCAAATTGTCGAGACTCCCATTGGGTCCAACATTCATCGAGCCTCTTGTTGTGCTCCTCCCAACGCCTATCATTATGCTCAATAAAGGTATCGAGCCTCTTGTTGTGCTCCTCCCAATGCCTATCATTATGCTCAATGAATGTATCGAACCAAGCGGGGGCTTGTTGAGATCACGCGTCCGCAGCGCCCGTGTCAACTGCTGGAGGGAGGAAATAGTCCGTCGGGTTGGTATGTGTTTCTTCGTCCTCCGCCTCGTCCTCGGAATGAGGCTGTGGCTGCGAGGAACCACCTTTTCCGGACGATTTCTTCAGCTCTGACTAATATGACTTGTAGCACTCACGATGTTTGAAATCAATGATCGTGGTGCTGTTCTTAACGAGATAGGCTTTCACCAAATCCCACAACACAATCTTCTTCAGTTGAAGCGGCACTTCATCAATTTGAACATTGAAGTGCTTAGCGAGCCCGGTGACGATATTGGTCAATCTCGGAGGGCGCGTGGCGAAGACTTCCGTTCCTCGGAGTGTCTCTATAACGAATGCAGTCATGCATATGGGCTTCTTTGCACACATTACCCACAATAAATAAACTTCTTGCTCGCTAACCTTGTTGGAAACTTTTTTGCCAAAAACATTGTAGCATAGAAATTTATATACCACCGCAATGGCCACATCTTTGATTAGCCCATTCGATGGGCCCTTGACTTTGAATTTATCGCATGGAGAAAGAGCGGCCCTAGGCTTGTCCACCTCAAAATCACCGGGTACTTTGCGAGACCCTGTCGTGCGGAAACCAAATACCTCATGCATCACATTGTTATCAACCTTGTATTCATTACCTTTCATCTGGCAAGTGAAAAACTTGCCGTTGTCGTGTGGTACAAATGTGGTAAAGAATTCAACCACTAGTTCCGCGCATGCCACATTGTCCATGGCTTCGTACTTGTCAAGATTGAGGGCCTTCAAGTATTTCCTCACGTCTTCCGAGATTTTTAGCGAGTCTAGCAACTCCCAATCAAGTGTCCTTGGGATCCGACATTTCATCTTTATGAGGCATTTGTATGAGTGCACCTCATCTTGAGAGAAAACTGGGAATGCAATGCCATGCTTTTGAGCCAAAGTTTGAGTTTCGGTATCCGAGTTCGAGTTGCTATTGTTCGAGTCCGGTGAAGAAGGCGGGGTTTCTACAACTGCTTTTGTTCGTTCTATTTTCGTCATGTTTTTCTTGTTTATTTTATGTTTATTTTTTCCCTCCTTAGGTATTTTTCTTTGGTTCTTGGTCCATTTTGAGTCGTTTCGTGCTTTTCCCCTGTTTTATTCGTTTTTGGTCTTTTTGTTCGTTTTTCCTGGTTTTACGTATTTTTCTTGTCGATGGTGATGTGCAGGATAGGTAGTGCGGTGCGTAGCCATGCGAGGATTACTATCTAGATGGATGAGTTGGGGTCGAATTGGAAAAGACGGGATTAAATTCCGAGTCCGGATGCGAGAACACGAACCCGAGAACATTTTGTTGTGCAGAAAATCCTTCACCGCGGCCCGCAACTGTCTCCTCGCGGCCGCGGTTAACAAAACCAACCGGCGCCCAGTTTTAGTCGCCGCGGCCACGGAGGAGAGGTCGCGGCCGCGAGAGTCCCAAAAGTCCCACTTCTGTCCAGAGAATTTCGCGGCCTCAGGGATGGCCGCGGCCGCGGGCTTTCTTCGCCGCGGGATTCTCTGCAGCCGCGGAGGCCGCGACGTGCAGAAATTTAAGCACGGATTTCGGATTCGTTTAGGGAGGATGTTCTTTCTAGGTTTTATTTTCTCTCGTACAAAAAACTCCAGAACATATATTTCTCTTAGTTTTTGGTAGGAACTCATCTTTGAGAGTGAAAAGCTCCAAATTGCTATTTTCGGATTCGTTTTGCACTCGGATTTTGACGTTGAACCTTCATATTAATCGTAAGCTTCTATTTTCGTTTCATTCATGAATGTCATGGCTTTGTTTGATATGAATGTTTGTGTTGAGATCACTATGAGTAGCTAAATTCTCTAGCTAGGGTTAGGGGATTGTCGTTCCGGTTCCATCTCGTTTACATGCTTGATAATTGCTCAATCTTTTCGAGTTGTGCTTAACATAGGGTTTTAGATGCTTGATCACCATCTCAATCTATTTAATCAATTTTAAAACCGAAAGGGGAGAAATCGATCGATCTAGGCTCGTTTAGAATAGGCTTGTTCGGTGACGTATTGTCTATGTGCTAATTGACTCGATAATCGTTCGTTTATGCTGATTCTCTTGTTTCGTGAGATATTGAGAATGAATCTCTAGATGAGTTAGTTTTTTGAGACCTTTAGCCGAGTAATTGATTTCCCATTAAATGCTTTGAGAATCGGAAGCGATTATCCCCGATACCCTAGCCTCCTTTACTACTATTTGAATTCGTGTTCGGAGTTGTGAGATTTGAATAGCTAGGATTAGCTTTATAATTCGTAGTTGATAAATCAAACCAAATCAATCTGATTAGAGTGTTAGGATTATTTTCTCTTATTGAATATACGTACAAGATAATCCGGCCAACCGTCCTTGGGACACGACCCGGTGTTCAACTCTTTCGATTCTACTCCGGTAAAAATAATTACAACAACTTTTCTTTTGCCTCCGGCTTTGCCTTTTGTGGGAGCTTTCGATGACGATGCCTTACCCATGCTCGGTTATTGGATACTCTCGAAGGAAAATAGTGGATGCAAGCAATATAGCCCTCTTCTGTAGTTGTGGCAATTTGTCGAATACATTGTGTGCGGAATTATGTGTTTGAGAATTGTTAATAAAGAAAGAGTTAGAAGATTCCTCAAACTTCAAAAAATTAAAAACCATACTCTTCAAGCCATTAGAGTGACCTTACCGTGCGGTGAATTCGAGAAAACATCCTTGCCGGAATGGGATTTCGGGAATTAGGCTCTTTTATGAAGACAACTTGGCCGGAATTTATGTTGCCGGAAAGAGGGAGTGTCCTCGCCGGTCGGAGTAGGTGGCCGGATGTGGTGTTGTCGCCGGTCGGAGTAGGTGGCAAGATGTGGAAGTTGGCGGATAGGTTTTTTTATTTATTTTTTTTTCTTCTTCTTAGTTCAAATTTATGAAATGAGGAATGGAGAATGAAAAAGATTTTTCTCCTTAAATAGTTTCGGCACCTCGCGGGCGCGGCGTATCTCGCGGACGCGACACACGCGCGGACAGACAGGCTCCCAGGACGTCGTGGGCGCAGCGCATCTCGCGGACGCGACACACGAGTGGACAGACTTCCTCTCAGGACGTCGTGGGCGTGACAACCGTCACAGTCGCGACACACAAAAAAAAAACCTTTATTTGAAAAAGAGTTTCTTATGAGTATTTCGACGCTCTAACGGGTCCAAACTATCGTTAAAAGGTGATATATGACTAACAACAATGTTATACTTGTGTCAAAAAAAATAAAACCGTAAAGAAAGCGCGGTTTGGTCGAAAAACAACTATAACTTATGTACATTAGTTATAGTTGTTTTCCGTAACAAATGCGCCTTAAACGACCGTGCATCCATCATATAACACGTTATAAAGATGTTAAACTCGTTATGTGTCTCATTTTATTCATTTTTTCATGTAAAATAAAGAATTTACAAATATTCGACATCATCTTTCATTTTTCAAAAACAAAAACAAATAACAAGTGTTGTTATTTCAAAAAAAGAGTTTCGTTGTGAGTGTTTCGACGCTCCAACAACTTCAAACTATCGTTCTAATCACACGTAGCATCAACATACAAGCGTTATCAAGTAACTAGAAAAAAAAACCGTAAAGAAAGCGCGGTTTGGTCGAAAAACAACTATAACGAATGTTTATTAGTTATAACTAAGGTACATTAGTTATAGTTGTTTTTCGTAACGGATGCGCCTTACACGACCGTGCGTCTGTCATATAACACGTTATAAAGATGTTAAACTTGTTATGGGTCTCATTTTATTCATTTTTTCATGTAAAATAAAGAATTTATAAATATTCTACATCATCTTTCATTTTTCAAAAACAAAAACAAATAACAAGTGTTGTTATTTCAAAAAACAGAGTTTTGTTGTGAGTGTTTCGACGCTCTAACAACTTCAAACTATCGTTCCAATGACACGTAACATCAACATACAAGCGTTATCAAGTAACTCAAAAAAAAAACCGTAAAGAAAGCACGGTTTGGTCGAAAAACAACTATAACGAATGTTCATTTGTTATAACTAATGTACATTAGTTATAGTTGTTTTTCGTAACAAATGCGCCTTACACGACCGTGCATCCGTCATATAACACGTTATAAAGATGTTAAACTCGTTATGGGTATCATTTTATTCATTTTTTCATGTAAATAAAGAATTTACAAATATTCTACATCATCTTTCATTTTTTAAAAACAAAAACAAATAACAAGTGTTGTTATTTCAAAAAAAGAGTTTCGTTGTGAGTGTTTCGGCGCTCTAACAACTTCAAACTATCGTTCCAATGACACGTAACATCAACACACAAGCGTTATCAAGTAAGTAAAAAAAAAAAAAAAAACGTAAAGAAAGCGCGGTTTGGTCGAAAAACAACTATAACGAATGTTCATTAGTTATAACTAATGTACATTAGTTATAGTTGTTTTTCATAACAAATGCGCCTTACACGACTGTACATCCGTCAGATAACACGTTATAAAGATGTTAAACTCGTTATGGGTCTCATTTTATTCATTTTTTCATGTAAAATAAAGAATTTATTAATATTCTACATCATCTTTCATTTTTTAAAAACAAAAACAAATAACAAGTGTTGTTATTTCAAAAAAAAGAGTTTCGTTGTGAGTGTTTCGACGCTCTAACAACTTCAAACTATCGTTCCAATGACACGTAACATCAACATACAAGCGTTATCAAGTAACTAAAAAAAAGAACCGTAAAGAAAGCGCGGGTTGGTCGAAAAACAACTATAACGAATGTTCGTTTGTTTTAACTAATGTACATTAGTTATAGTTGTTTTTCGTAACAAATGCGCCTTACACGACCGTGCATCCGTCATATAACACGTTATAAAGATGTTAAACTCGTTATGGGTCTCATTTTATTCATTTTTTCATGTAAAATAAAGAATTTACAAATATTCTACATTATCTTTCATTTTTCGAAAACAAAAACAAATAACAAGTGTTGTTATTTCAAAAAAAGAGTTTCGTTGTGAGTGTTTCGACGCTCCAACAACTTCAAACCTTCGTTCCAATCACACGTAGCATCAACATACAAGCGTTATTAAGTAACTCAAAAACAAAACCGTAAAGAAAGCGCGGTTTGGTCGAAAAACAACTATAACGAATGTTTATTAGTTATAACTAAGGTACATTACTTATAGTTGTTTTTCGTAACGAATGCGCCTTACACGACCGTGCGTCTGTCATATAACACGTTATAAAGATGTTAAACTTGTTATGGGTCTCATTTTATTCATTTTTTCATGTAAAATAAAGAATTTATAAATATTCTACATCATCTTTCATTTTTCAAAAACAAAAACAAATAACAAGTGTTATTATTTCAAAAAAAAGAGTTTCGTTGTGAGTGTTTCGACGCTCTAACAACTTCAAACTATCGTTCCAATGACACGTAACATCAACATACAAGCGTTATCAAGTAACTCAAAAAAAAAACCGTAAAGAAAGCGCGGTTTGGTCGAAAAACAACTATAACGAATGTTCATTTGTTTTAACTAATACATTAGTTATAGTTTTTTTTCGTAACAAATGCGCCTTACATGACCGTGCATCCGTCATATAACACATTATAAAGATGTTAAACTTGTTATGGGTCTCATTTTATTCATTTTTTCATGTAAATAAAGAATTTACAAATATTCTACATCATTTTTCATTTTTTAAAAACAAAAACAAATAACAAGTGTTGTTATTTCAAAAAACGAGTTTCGTTGTGAGTGTTTCGGCGCTCTAACAACTTCAAACTATCGTTCCAATGACACGTAACATCAACATACAAGCTTTATCAAGTAACTCAAAAAT